AAAGTCCCAGCATGCGTGGGGGAAGCAGTCACTAAGTTCCATCTTGAGATGACCCAGCTGATTTGCTATTGGTAGTTGATGGCTATTGGAGGAGGGAGTGTCAGTCATCTCCAGTGTTCGACTCCTGAGACGTTACCCATGCTCCAGTAGATGCCCGTTTATGCATGCACATGCTGGCAACACTAAGTGAGTTCAGAGATTTTTTTAAAGGACCATATGAAATTAGAAGGGAATTATAGTGGGGTATAGTATGGAAATTGGAGGAGGGATGGGGATGGGAATGGATTTGATCAAAATACATTCTGTGCATGTAGTAAATTATCAAACAGCAAAAAGTAGGGTGTCTTCATCCTGGCTCTCTCTCCAGATCATGTCTCCCTGCCAAGTGTTACCACTAATTTCTCCTCCCTAATGGTACCTTCATCTGTTGTGGGGTCCCTGCAGATACCACTGCTAGCAAGGAAACAAAACATGAAGAAGTGAGAACGAAAACCTGGTTCAGCTGGACTTGGTCAGTGAGACTGGATCAAAACTTCTAGAGAGTCTGATTCCATGGTTTAATTCTCTTAGGCATTAAAACACAGTCAAACTTTGGGGGGGCAATCTCCATGTGACAATTCTCATAACAAAGCTTTAGGCAGAGCCACAAACCAGAGCACCTGTGACCTTTACAGTTAGAATGAGTTCTTTCCGTTGAAAAAGCAGAACTCAGGGTTAGACAGGAAGAATTTGCAGTGAATGTAAGGATGGTTTCTGTGGGTGGAGGATGCAGAGAACATGGGACCTCTTTCATAAGGATGGGGTCTACTCACTGAGAGACAAAGCTCAGGATTAGGGCCTAAACAATGCTTAGGATTTCTCATGGGGTGGGGCGTCCAGGAAGGCTGGCTCCACAAAGAGCAAAAAGACAACCAAGTTGTCAGACAACATTCACTCCAGGCTTCTGGGTGACCGTGTGTCAGTCACTTCCTTTGGAAAAAAAAAATAGTTCTGCATGATTGACAACCCTGGTTTCTCTAATACTTACTCTATGCTGTACTTCCTATACTCATCCACTCTGTGTCCTGAGCAGAAGCCAGGCAGCCTTCCCAGCCTGCTTCTTTTCATTACTTCCTTATCTCAAGCTTAACCAGGATATTAACATTTGTTTCTTCCTTCTAAATGATTGGGACTGTAACTCTCAAGCCCCTCTGTTTGTTCCATTGCTATTGAAATATGACAGATTTTCAATGAGGCTAGTCTCCTGGTCTTCATGTTATATTTGCTTGTAAGCTTATTTCTATCTATTGTATTGTTTCAAATACTTTGTGTGATTTTCATTATGTGGTGAAGGTCTTTTCATTTATCCCCCCACTGGAATTAGTTGTTTTTACTGGGAATGCCTTCAGGACAAACTGCTTATTCCAGGAAAGAGGAATCCTGAGTCTAGGCAGGCCTTCTCTGAAAATGTTCTTTGCACATGCATCAGGGGCCTCTGACATCCACCATGACGTCTGTATTTCAGACTCCATCAGCAGGGTCTTCCTTCTACCATTGCAAGAAACCCAGTGTGTAACCAGCTGGCTGCAGAGTGGATCTGGGACTTGGTGCCGCTTTATCTGCTCCCAGAATTTTGAATAATATGTGCCGATCTTTTTTTCTACCTTTTTGTTCTGGTCACAGGCCCTAGCCTCCCAGTGAATAAGCAGGAAGAACAGATTTTTAGGACCCTGTTCACGTCCTTTCCATCTTTTCTTGAAATCATGCCCTATGAATGAACTGTTTCCTTACTGTATATGGATATCAAGTTATCTAATTAAACAAAAACCTACATTAATTGTGGAGGGGGGACTGTTTTCTTTTTCCTGATAGAAACAAACTTGAGTGTGCATAGGAGCCAAATTTTTCCCTTGCCCAGATCTTGCATGAATTTTCACCCCGGGCCTTCTCTACAGTAATCTGATTTCTCCTTTCATCTCTGTACATAGTGTTCACTGCCTTAAGGCTTGACCTCCGAACCGTGCTGTCTTCAGACTCTACCCCATGTAGTTCTTGGAGGCCGTATTCTTCCATGCGATCTTGGTTTAATTTGTTCTTCTTGTAGAGCTTGTTCAGGCAACACCAGCTAAGCATAATGGTTTCAGGATAGACGGCATGGAGGACAATTTGAAGGATTTGGACCCATGATCTGGTAAGAGATCAATAGGAGCTCTCTGGGGAGTTGGTGACCAATGTGAATGTGGGTTCATTTTGTCAAACCATGTCCTCTCTTCCAAAACCAAGCAGCATGTGTGTCTGTCTGCTTGTACTAGAGTAGGATGTGATGGGTGCACAGAACTTTGATAGAAGGTCTTTACCTTAAGCATAATCCCTGCCCTAGAAATATCAAGGAAGCTATATTGATGAAGTCTCAATAGCATGGCTGCCAAACATGACCTGAAGAAGGACAACGGTCACACACATGCTACTGGGGAAGGGAGATATCTCCTGGGGCTCCAGCCCTAGACGACAGGGCAGTGTGGTGATAGATTATTTATGATTTATTAAAGCTTGCCTGAGTTTCCAGAAAGCAAAGCCAGACTCAAGCTATAGAGATTAGATGGTGGTGGCACACACCTTTAATCCCACCACTTGGGAGGTAGAGGTAGACGAATCTCTGTTAGTTCAAAGTCATAACATATCACCACAGAGCAGGATGTTCAAGCTCAAGTGAATGCTTCTAGGTTGAGTAGAACACCCCATGGTGGTCAAGATTGCTCCAACAGTCATTATATAGCATTATTTGAAGATAGATTATATAAACAAAGGGACCTTTTAAAAGATTCATTAGCTAAATTGCACATGGTTTTCCAGGCCCTCTCATCTGTCTTCATGCAAGGAATTATTGGCAGGATGATAATTTCAGATAACTTAAATCATAGTTTTAGTTTCCCCACACCATGCTTTGTTAACTAAATCAAATGGAAACTTGAACTAAAACTTGGTTAGTTTTTGTTGTTTCCCCAACTGCGTCTGTTTGTCCAACCTCTCCGGTCTTGCTTCTAGGGACAAATCATGTCTGTGTGACTGCCTGCACTAGTAATCTGTTATAACTTGATTCCCATGGCTCAGGATGAGTCAGAGATCCTTTGTGATATTTTTTTATCCCTGTTTTGGACACTCTGCCCTTACCTTCTCTGTCTCTCCTGATACAGTGAATGGATAGAGTAGATAGAGAAGGAAATCAGTGTTTAAAGTTCAGTGGGGTTTAAGCCCTAGGACGCTCAGTGTTCATTCCTATATGCAAGATGCAAAAACTCTGAAAAGCCTTTGGTTTAAAAATGACATGGGACACTAGTACATATCCAGTGGCCTGGTAGTATCTCACAATTCAGTTACCCAGTGTGAAACAAAGTCTGTGCATTCCCGAATCTTCCTGTGCTATTGTGAGGTAGATTTCTGAATTTGCCTTAAAGAGGGAGTGGGCAGAATCTCCTAAAGTTGCAGTCATAGCTGAGATGCCATTGAGAGGTACACAGGAATACACAAAGCAGAACAAACAGAATTTGCAAGGTAATTGACAAGGAAAAGTGACCATTACTTCTAACAAACCTCTTCTGAGATCATGGTGCAACAGAAAGGCTCCCAGCCTCAAAGGCACATGTCATAGCCAAGGGTTCACATGCAGAATCTGTTCTCCACATGGAAAAGTGAGTCATCTCCAGTGATAGGATGGCCCAGTGACACAAGGCTGGGATCTGGTCATCCTCTGACACCCAGACCAGTCAAAAGTACCAAGCCAACACCCAGCCCGCTCTACACTCATCAACTTCCTCCCCTTCCAAATTGTTACCACTGTCTCTAACCCTAGATATAAGATGATTTTAAAAACACAGTGTCTATACTCCAAAATATTCCTATATCTACAGATCTGAGCCACTATTTTTACATTTGTTCAGCCCTGTAGAAGTGCCATTCTTACTTGTCAGCACCCATGTCACATTTGAGCGTCTGTTCACAGACTCAAGCCCACTTTGAGCTCCTTGAGAGAAGAAATGTATGGTTTTGCCCCCCCACCATGGAGTTCTTGGACTAGTCTGAACCTATAGGAGTTTGTTTAATATCCTTCTAGGTATCCCAGTGTTTTGAGTCCCTTCCATCCCAGAACTAACACACCCAGAACCTTGGATCTGCTGTAGTCACACTGATACCTTGCAACAGCTGCCTCTGTGGGATGTCTTGGTCTCCTGACCAAACAGACTCTCAGTGAATGTAATACAGTAATTAGATTCCTCGACATTTAAGTGGATTAGTTAAGGAATCTTCTGACTCTTAAGCTACTGAACTTATACTGAATTAACTGAACCTTGGCCTTCTTTTAAAAAATAAAAAAAGATATATTTTTTAAAAAAGTTCATGGGTCAAAAACACCTAGAGGTCTTCAGTGTTGTATTTGTAAGCCACTCTGGTACAGAGAGAAGATGAATGTGTATCACTATGGCACTCTCTCTGATAAAATGAAACACCCTCACTCATGAATATAGCTTTCAGACAATGATGAAGTTTGAGACAGGTGTTATTCAGACTAGAGCACTCCCATAGCAAGGTTTTCAGTATGGCCCCAGTTTCTTTTTATCTTTACTAACTAAATTCTAGTTCTGCCTCTCAATTCTGAATATGTCCTCTGAAGGCTATCAGGTCTCTTCAAGGCTACAGAAAGCAGATTACTTTCAAAGGCAATTAAGCCCCAGGCTACATGTCCTGGGGCCACCCCTAAAAAAGAAATACCTTGTCCATACCTGTTCTATCTGTACCCACAGCCAAAATTTGATCTGGAAATGTGCCCAGGACCTGGAAGACCTTGAAAAAGTCCCATCAAGCTTGGCTATACCCATCAGGTTTGTAAGCTCCTGGCTGAGTGGGTGTGTTCTTTGTGGTGAGAGACACTGGAAAGACACGTCAGGAAATATGTCATATTGTCATCACTATGACATTGCAAGAATTACAATCATAGCTTACCTCATTATATAGGTGGACAAGCACACCTTTTGGCCCAATCTCAGCTTGTTGGGAAGCAGTCAGCTATGAGGCTCCATTATCTTCTATTTGCATTCCTTATCTTGTTCTTGGTGCCTTCTCCAGGTAAGATGGATTGGGAAATAAGGGGTGGAAAGGGTTGAGAACATGTAATTTAGTCAGCCCTTCTCTGTTTCTGGTGAGCCTGAGATCAGGTGGATTTGTTGAGTGGAAACCAAACATTGCCAGTGTTTCCTTCCGACAACAATCATTAAGAGCATTAAGGCAGGCTCTCGGGTTTGTCCTGTTCCACTCGTAAGAGATTAAATAGTGCCACAGATGCCAGCTCTCCACCCACCTCATCCCTGGAATACTAGAATAAGACATGAGAAAGCTGACTTGAAATTTTAATTCTGATGGAAATGAACTACTTCGTCTGATACCCAAACCCATAGACATCTGTTCTAAGTGAGCTTAGCGACTGGCGGGAGAGAGGTACGCTAGGATGCTTAGAAGGTACTAGGTACAATGGTGGCCCCAAGTCCACGTTCTTATGGTAGGGCTCAGAGACCAGGCTGCTGTGTGCTCACAGCTGAGATGCAGCCCCCAGAAGACTTTGTTCCCTGCCTAGCACCCCTTAATGTTACTTTTGATTTTATAGGAAAAGAGAAAAGAAACAGAAGTGAAAAGAAACTAACTCAGCAATGCATAGTTTGCTGGATCCAATGTCTTTTTAATATTCTTTCTAAAATAGTCTTGATTTTTCCCCTTGTAGGGGATGCATTCATCCAGAAAACCATCCAGAAAGTGTTCTGCAGACTACGAGGTGGCCGGTGTGCTGTGTTTAGCTGCCTTGCAAGGGAAGAACAAATAGGTCAATGCTCTAGAAGAGGACGGAAATGCTGCCGGATAAAGAGAAAATACAAGATCCAGAGCGACACTATTTGGCCATTTGGGGGTAGTCCTCTCAGGGGTGTGTAACAGTAAAATCAAAGTGATATATATATATATATATATACATATATATGTATATATATTTAAAAAATCAGTAGCTTAATCTTTTTTTTAACATTTTTGCCCTTGCATTCGTAAACAAATATGCAACTAAGATAATCAACAAATACAGTTTGATTTGAATGAAGCAACACCTCTGCAGGGGTCTACATAATACTTAAGCTCATTTTCCAAGGGCCAAGGGCTTGAATAAGTGTGTGTGTGTGTGTGTGTGTGTGTGCATAAACATGTATATAAACATGTCTGTGGAGTGTACATATACACACGCAGACAGACTTTTCTCTTTTAATGAATTTTACTTAAATTAAAAGTCTTATTTTACATACCAATCCCAGTTCTCTCTCCCTCCTGTCTTCCCATCCCATACCCCATCTATTCTTCAGGCAGGATGAGGCTTCCCATGGGGGATTATCAAAGTCCAGACAGATATTTTGTATATCCTATAACTCCATTGGAAGTGGAGTTGTTGTCTTTTGAAATACCCTTTGTGTCTTACTGTAGATGTTTTGATCTTTCCAGCCCTCTTTACAGGATCACATTTACCCAAATCTAAAACATCAGTTCATCGCAGAAGTCAACCTTAAGCCCTTAGGAAAACTTTGCCCAGAGGAACAGGGACCTGGCCCTCCTCCTCTCTTCTTTCCCACTGCTCCAACCTTTGCTCTGCTGCTTCCTGTCTGGTACACCCTCCACCCACCCATTTCTCACCCTAAAGTGCCCCCCAGGGCCTGTCCCGATGGGTGGTCTCTTCTTCCTCAAAATGGCAAACTACCCAAATGGGCAGCTTTCTCTAGATGTGAGACTTTGACCCAAGTCCTCTCTCTACGGCTCTTGCTTGGTTTTTGAACTGTGGACATTCACACATTTGGTTGCACGACTCATAATAACAGCACAGTCCTTGTCTCCATATCTGGACACTTAGTACCCTGACCATGGAACTGGTTGACAAGTTTCCTTTGAGCTGAAGGACATCCACATAGCTTAGAATGCTTTCATTTTAGTTGGTGCTCTCTAGATGTTCATGCAGGGGGACTCCAGTACACCCAGTTAGTGGTCTCCCCTGGCAGCACTAGTCAGAGCAGTACACAGATAAGGTAATCAGGCTCTCAGTCAGTGTGGGAGAATCGTCCTGCCTCATGGTTCATAGCATTCATCTTCCATCAAAAGTGTAATGGGAAAGGCTGTTTCCAGACACTGAGCAACAACCAGTGCAGACCTGAAAGAGAGGAGGGAGTGAGGCAGGGAGGGAGAGAGGGATGGGGGTAGGGGGAAGGGAGGGAGGGAGGGAGGGTGACAAGTTCATGAACACAACACTTAATACATGGGCAGCTTCTAAGCCAAGGTACAGGGAGGCCAATTCCCAAGACCAGCAGGCAATGTTGCAGCTTTAAGTCACTGGAACAACAATTCAGATAGAACAATCCACCCCCAATTGCCTTCAGAGGTGGGGAAAGGAGGGCAGGACCTCAGATGGAGACAGTGCTTGAGAGCTACACCAGAGGGCAGGGAGGAGACTTCAGTCCTAGGGTGATTAACGATTGCAAGGACACTTGGGACAAAAATATCACATGGCCAGAGGGAAATGAAAACATCAGAGAGGAACTGTGTGGATGTTTCAGGAGTTCTCGGGCCTGGAAAATGCATTTCTGACAGCAAAGTGGAGGTCATTCCACCTTCATAAAGGATCCTGGGGACACTGGTGAGTCCTTTCTGAAGATTTCTGTAGCTCTCTTGCAAGGTTTCACAGTAGTTTTTGAAAGAAACATCTGAGACAAGCCTAAATCTGGGCCAAAATAAAGCCCGGCTTTCCTTGAAAGGTGATGGTCAAATCCATCCATCCTCAACTACTCAAGCGCTCCTGTGTGCTAAATGCCACAGAAATGACCAACCAGGAAGAAAAGGATACAATCTACTATCAGAAGAAAGGCTGTGCCATAAGATGAACCCAGTGAAGTTGAGGATAGTAGAATTTGCCCAGCAAAGGTATAAAAAAAAGTCCGTGTAATCATGCCCAAGGCCTAGGGCAAAATTGTTCACGAGGAAAGGGATGGATATAAAGGACTGAATGGAACTTCTAGTGACGAACAGTAAATATCTGAATAAAAATACACTGAATTTTGGCATGAGATGCATCTTAATTGGTAGGGTGTGTACCTAGCTTGCATGAAGCCCGGGCTTTGACTCCCCAGCATGGCATAAACCTTAGCTCATGCTTGTAACCGTAGCATTTGGGAGGTGATGGAATGAGGATCCAAAGACAAAGGTCATCCTTGGCTCCATATCAAAGCTTGAAGTCAGCATGGTTTATGAGCTGTCTCAGGTTTGTACCTGCTTCTTCTGGCAGACAGGGAAGTGATAGAGCTTGTGCATCCATCTTTAGGGTACATGGATGAAGGCTCCCCCACAAGGTGGCAGTAGTCTGTAATGTGATTCCCAGCAAGCTCAGCTCTGCTCTTCCTTCCAGGGGACTGGACAGGATGATGGCAGTGCCAAATAAGACTGGTGTTTGGTTGAGTACCTTCTGGCTTTGTGCTGTAGTAAAACCAAGGGTAAAGTTATCAGGGCATCTTGGTTATTGGGTAGGGGATTAGCCGCAAAGGCTTTGAAGACAAGCTAGTTTTGTTTTCCAGTGACAACCTTGTCACTTAGCTAAGTGACCATGGTGTCTCTCAATTTTTACTGGTCCCAGGGTTTTCATGTGTGGAATTGAGTCATTTCTACTTCCAGGCTTGTGAATGAGGATTAAATGAAATGGTTCATAATCAAGTGATCAAAACGGAGCCAGCAATATTTACAAAGCTCTGCTGAACAAAAATTCAGGCATTGATGGGAAGACCAGGGAAGAGAAGCTGTATTGGGAACAAGAAGATAAAAGGCTTTCTTCCTTAATAACACTTTATAATTTGTAAAATGGAATAACAATAAGAACTATAGGGGACTAATCTCACAGATTTATAAATGGTAAAGGACTATTGGAGTTGTTACCAATTTGGAAAACAATAATTTACTAGTGAAATATATTGATTGATTATTCTATTTTTCCAGCCAACATTTTATAAATAGCTTTATTAGATCATTTACACATACTTTGATCAATTTAATTACTTTTTCTGATGATGATATTCTGGTCCTCTGGCTCTTTCAATCTTTTCAATCCATTCTCCAGTGACATTACTTGAGCTTTAGGTATAGGAGGTGTGTAGCATATGTATTAGCTTGGTATACAAAAATGGCACATGTATTTTGAAGATAGTGATTTTTACAAAGATCCTACCATTTAATTAGTTAAATGTCTGTTTCATGTAGATTTTAATTTAATTTTACTTACTTTATTTTAAGATTTATTTCCTTTTATTTTATATTTGAGTGTTTTGCCTGCCTGTCTATCTATGCACCATGTGCCTATGGAGGTCAGAGAGTGGGTAGGATCTCCTAGAACTAGAGTTATGGATTGTTGTAAGTCACCATGTTGTGCCAGGAGCCAAACCTGGATCTTCTACAAGAGCATTATGTGCTTTTAATCACCAAGCCATCTCTTTAGTTCCTGAATTTAGCTTTGAATGGAAATGCATACAACGGGGTTTTTAACATTTCTGTTCAGGTTTCGTGCAGGTAAGGTGGTGAGCCAGTTCCACGCCTTATAGTTTGTTCTGCACTCTGTTGCTGCATTCAATTGCTGAATCTTCACTGTCAAGGAAAAGTAAAAGTTAAAATCATCTTTCTTGGGTTTTTTGTTTATTTGTTTTGTTTTTCAAGACAAGTATCTCTGTGTGTATCCCTGACTGTCCTGAAACTTGTTCTGTAGACCAGTCTGGCCTCAAACTCACAAAGACCAGCCTGCCCCTGCCTCTGGGAGGGCTGGGATTAAAGTCATGCACTGCCAACCACCATCTTTCTAGTGAGCAATGGATTTATGTGAAGCATCATATGAAAATGGCATTCTTCTCTGTCGAACTTGACTCCATACATTGAATCCCCATTTTTGAGGTAGTGCTCAGCCCTTGAAGTTTGTAAGCTCCTCCTGTAAGAATTGTAAGAGTTCTGTTGTTTTTCTGCCTTTTTACATGGTCACATCTAATTTGAGGACACTCCTGGACTATTGCTGGGACCCTTGGAGTTCCAACTCAGAGTTCAAGTCAGAATTAACATTTCTGTACACATCCTAGGGTATTTCCATTGATGGATAAATGCACTTTCCAAGTTTGGCCCACGTGGAGACCATCCTTTCCAGGACTGGGGTCACAGCTGCCATCACCATCATGTCTGCACCCTGAGATCCCCAGGTTTCTCCTGAGTTGCTCAGGATGGCTGGGTCAACCTTGCCTTCTGAACCTGAGTCTTGGTACTCTGTCTCCAGAAGTGTCCAGTCTTCCAAGTGCTTGCTCCATTTCCTTATTGCACTTTGCTTACAAACTATCAAGTTAGCAGAAAAGAAAAGGTGAAGGTGATGGTGATAGAGTGTGACACCAGGCACCACCCACCTTCTGAATTCAGGGCCCTATGCAACACCCCACAGCACTCAAGCCCTGAATTCCACACCACCTCTACAATGATTTAAAAGACACACTGAAACCACAATGCTGAAGTCATATTTTCCAGAAATCACAACAATGAAAGGGTTTGTTTTTTAAAGCCCATCAGTAGGGTTTCCCTTTGGCTGGGTGACTGGGCTATTCCCCATGGAGGTGGACTATTTGCTTTCTCCGGGTGTAGGTGAGAGATGTGGGCTACAGTCTTTATCTCTCCTTAAAAGAGTAGGGCCATGAATCTACCTTCCCCAAGTTTCCATCTTTGTCAGTTATTATTGTACCCACAGCATGAAGATCATATGAAACTAAAATTCATCTAGGTTTACACCTGAACTCAGCCAAAAGCTAAACAACATCATCTCCAGGTTGTGGTGAGGGGCCCTTGTTTGTGATGGTGTGTGGTCTTCTAGTGGTGTGTGGTCCTTTAGGCTGAGGCATAATTGCCATTTTCTGAGGGGGAAGATCCCTTCTGGAGGTCTCTTTCAAGTGGACTTAATAGGATGAACATAGCCATAAGAAGTCTTGGTGGTCCATGCCGAGAAGTATAAGCTGTAGTTACAAGAATTTTTGACGGGATACTCAGGCCACTGTCCTCAACATTCTGGCTGATGTCATCATCTCTTTGAGGTATTTGTCCTCAAAGGACGTGGAGGTGGGGAAGGTTAATGCCCCCTCCCCCTCCCTACCTTCCCTCTCTCTCTCGTGTATGTGTGTTTCAGATCATCTTTGTTTCCTTTTTATCAAGGCCTCCCTCATTCATTGAGTTCAGAACAGGACAGAGGTGGTCCAGGAAAGTGCTGCCTGTTGCTCCCTGGAATTGCAACAGGGCTTTATGGGAAGTTCACACTTGTATGGGTGGATCTTTAAATGACAGAGCATTGCTTTAATAGTAATTGGAAGCAGATGAGTCATCAAGGAAGGATGAGCTAGAGTGAAGGCTAAGCATGCTAATGTGGGAACCACTAACTTCATCCAACCTCTAAGACCAATAGAGCCTCTCCCTTATGTTATAACAATTCCTTAAGATTGCTTTCTGGAAAGCAAAACAAAACAGAAGTCTACAAATACATAGTCACATTAACCTAATTAAAAGTGCATGTTTGGAGCTAAAATGATCCAGGAAAAAATCAGTAGCTATTGAGATCCTAGTTGTGAAAATGAGAAGTTTATTAATATTGACCAGATACTAAATTATATTAAGGAGTACTTCTTTGTGTGTTTAAATAGAACTGTAATGCATGAGGGAATTTTCCCTGAAGAAACATATAATGAGATAATTCGGAAAAAGTTTAATGAATGAGATAATTAGGAAAAATTTAATGAAGTTCTGTGATTCAGGACTTTAAAATGTTTTGCCCCATGATACTAGGGAGTGAACCATGAGCCTAGTTTATCAGTCAAGTGTTCTTTAAACCAAAGTTCTTCTCCCACAACTTCTTTTTCTCCACTCATGTTTGAGACGTGGTTTATTTAAGCTGTTCAGGCTTCCTTCAAAGTCATTAGGTAGCTCCAACGGGCTTTGAATTTCTGGCCCTCCTGCCTCAGCCTCCTGAGTACGTGGGATTACATGGGTGGGATTATGGCTATTCATGGCCATACCTGGCTTTACTGAGATCCTAAATATCCTAAAAAGCCATGTGTTAAAGTTTAAGTTAGCCCAAGCTCCTCTGGGAGATGGTGTGTCCTTTAGCAAGTGGGCCTACTAGAAGAGAGGTAGGTCTTTGGACACACAGTGGCAATGGGGATGGGCATTCCAAACCCCTCCTCTACTTTCTGGTTGCCAGGAGGTGAGTGACTTTACCTTACCACGTGCTCCTTGCCATGATGTCTTGGCTCGTGAAAGACCACGAAACAGTGGAACCAACTGACCACGGACGGAATTTCTGAGCCTTGAGTCAAAATAACATTTTTTTCCATCAAAGTTGATTTGTCCAAAGTATTTGGCCACATTGAGAGTAAACAATTATGTCTCATTTCTACTGTTAAATTGAGAGAACTAAGGCAAATAGAGAGGGGTGAAGTGTTAATTCAGGCCCCACATTTACAGACAACTATCATTTTGCATCTAGCTTTTGTATGTGCTTCCTTGGCCTAGAAGAAATACTCTTAGTATTGGGGATGAGTTAACATACTTTTCAATACAAAGCCTGCATGCCTCACACAGGGAAGCAAAGTCCAAACAAGGAGTGTGATGTCATATGGCTATCCTCCAACCCCATACAGGAATTGCAATAGCATCCTAACTCAGCCCTGTCATTCCCTGATCCATCAAAAACTTCCTTCTTTGAACCAAACCATCATTATAGGTCAATCACCGGCTTTCTTTGAGAACACCTCTAATGATAGAGTAGGCTAATATGACCAGAGAAAGACTGGGATGAGCAGTGGAGAAAGAAGTTAGTGTCTTGGGTTTTTTGTTTTTAAAGATAGGGGAATTAAGTCCCGGTTTCCACTGTATCTATTGTATAGCAGTATCACTGGAGCTAATGTGTTACCACATGTTTCAAAAAAAGCTACAAGAGGGAATTGAGGCTGCTCAGTATAGTAAAATTGTGCAATTTGAAGTGATGGATGTGGTAATTACCCTGACATGGTCATTGCACACTGTAAGCAGTACTCCACAACTATGCACACTTATTGCGAAATGTACACAGTACTCCACAAGTATGCATACTTCTGGTTATGATTTTTAAAAATATCTACTGAATGCCAATCTTAAAATATTCCTACCCAGCCCAATACCATGGTTTTGAAATCACATAAGTGATGGGAGTGAAGCAGTCTAGTGTGTGTCTAAACTCTTCATTCTCCAGTTTCAAATCTCCTTGCTGAAAACTCCATAACAGCCTTTGTCGAAACTGCCCTTAAACGGTAGATTTCTGCCCAACTGCTTGTTTGTTTAAACTCCATGTGGAGAGGAAGAAATCATGATTGATGTAAACTCCTTTCCCTTAGAAATCCCCATCTCTCCATCCTTGGCATGGGTTATGCTCTGATCACTGTCAATGGTTTTCTAGGTTAAAAATGAACAACCAGGTTATGGAAGACACAAGAGATCTCACTCAGCCCCAAGCCACATGGACTTCCCTCAGAACCAAGACTGATAGAGAGGTGGTGGGAAGGCCTGGAGTCCTACTGTCATAGATTCTCATAAGAGAATCCAAAACTCGACCTGACTATATTAACACAATTGCAGAAAGCTGAGAACCACAGACTCAATGGCTACCAAGTTCCATGGAGTTATACATCACTTGGTAGCCAGAACCAGGCACTCACTGGCTTTATTCTTGGTAGGTACAGGAGGACATGTTCAGGCAAAATGTCACCAACTCACTGCTTTCTCTGTAAGAGGAAGCAGCACACCTATTTGACTCCATGACAATAACGTTGGGTGGATGATGAATTAATGGCGTTTTTGTGGTTTTTTAAAGTAGTAAATGAATTTCATCACTCTGCAGTAACTTGGAGAAATCTATGATACTAGACCCATGTTCTACCATGGAAAAGTTTGGAGACCTTGCATTCAGCAGCTGAGTGTGCCCAAGTCCTGATGGATCTTTATGAAATTAGTTCCTACTGGGACCTAAACCTGTTTCCAGACTCCAAGATGACTAAGTTAAAGCTAGAAGGAATAGGCAAGTAAATTCAAGTTGTTCCCGGTGAGTCTGTGACCCATGGCAGCCTGGGTTCCTCACACCTGAAGAACCAAGGCAGGAAGCTGCTTTTGGTTAATAGTAAAGGAAGAATATCTGGGCTCCCCACATTTGCATAAGTGACAATGAGTGTGCTCTCAAAGGGCCACTCCTTGGCAAGAGAGGTAAGTCTCTCTGTATTTCATAAGTGTAATTACTGGGCTTCTTGTCCACATAGAATTCTACCCAGGAACCAGTACTTGGACCTATATAAGGCACTGAGCTTGACTCCCTCTGTGTCCCTGCAATTCACCAGGCTTCAGTCATGAGGATTCATTACCTCCTCTTCACGTTTCTCCTGGTGCTGCTGTCACCTCTTTCAGGTGAGGCTGGGGAATGGGGTGGGAAATGAGAAAAGGTCTGTCTGCCTGTCGGCTGTCTGTCTGTGTGTCTCTGTGTGTGTCCTTCCCTCCCTTTCCTTCGTCCCTCTCCTCCTCTGTCCTGCCTTCTTTTGTTTTTACCTCATCTGCCTCAGTTCTTTACCCCTCTTCTTTCCCAACTCTATCTTAATTGTATTTTGTAGAATGGTGTTAATTTTCTTTTAAAATATGTGTACATGTGTATATCTGTGTATAGGTGTGTGCTGAGGAGTACAGTACCCACAGAAGCCATAAAGAGGCATCAGATCTCTCTCAGGGACATATATATATATATATATATATATATATATATATATATATATATGTGTGTGTGTGTGTGTGTGTGTGTGTGTGTGTGTGTGTGTGTGTGTATGGGCTGCCTGATCAGGGTATTAGGAACTGATCTCAGGTTTTCTGCAGGATCCTTGCACACTCTCATCTGCTGAGCCATTTTTCCAGCTCCAAGATTGTATTTCATGCTTGACATTAGACAAACAGGATAAAAGTGATAGATAACTAAGAGAAGGGGTTAAAACAAGTAAGAGAGAAAATGAGATGAATGAAACAAAGACCTGAAGCTGCATTAAACAGAAATTACAGAGAGAAAAACCAAGTTTCATTGATGGCTGGGTTCTGGTTACAGAGCAGCATCAGGGTGCCAAGAGATACCCAGACACTATGTCTGACGTTTAGATGATTGGGAAGAAGAGAGGGAAGAAGATTAAAGTAGGGATGAGATGAAGACCTAATTTTAGACATTAGAAACTATAAAAGAGTTTATTTATACTGCTGACTTTTGTTTTCCATTGTAAGTTATTTAGACATCAATTATCTATCATTAAATAAGTCCTTTACACTGAGGTTCGGGTCAGATAGTTTGGTAAAAATAGGTACCAGGAAGTTTAAATGCATAGTTCAAAATAGGAAGATGACTCAATGGGAAAAGTGCTTGCTGTGTGAGCATGAGGACATGAGTTCAGATCCCCAGGATCCATGTAGAAGCAGAGCAAACTGGTGCACATCTGTAATTTTGGCACTGCAAAGGAATACACTGGCTAGCCAGAAAAACATACTCAGTGAGTTCTGGGCTCAGTAAGAGCCCCTGTATCTAAGAATGAGGAAGGGAGTAATCGCTGAACATATTGATGCCAACCTCTATGTATGTGCAGTACATGTACATGAATGTGTACACTCATACTCCACTGACTGTTTCTGATACTAGAACAAGAGGCAGAAACAGAGGCGGGGATGCTGTGAAGTAGTTGGAGACTCACACAGAATCTCAGCTGAGCTCCTTCCTGGTGGCTCCGGAGCTCTAGTCATTCAGGATGGAGCAGACCCTTCTACATTTGGGTCCTAGGAAAGTCAGCACCCCTTAGAGCATCAGTGATAGTCTCTACGAAGAACTAGATTCAGTCCTGATGAAACAGACATCCCAGCCTTGGCTGAAAAGCCTGCTGGAATTATTCAAGATAATAGCACATGGGTGTATGTTCCTGTCATGATGCTTTCAGCTCCAATGTCTGTTTTTTCTTACTCATTTTTCAGCTTTCACCCAAAGAATCAAGAACCCTGTAACTTGCCTTGCTAATGGAGGTGTATGCTGGGGTGCATGTCGTGGAAGATTTCGACAGATTGGCACTTGTGGCATTCCTAGAGTCAGGTGCTGCAAGAGAAGATAAATAAGAAGACCATGAACCAGTGAGACAATTAAAAAGACAGAATCTGTTCTTCTTTGAGGATATACAAAACTTAAAACCAAATTAAAGTACTTTGCTTAAATAAAAATCTTGCCTCCTTATAGCTGTGTGAGCCTGCCAATTGTTTTTTGCACAGGCTTAATTGTAAAATCGTTGAGGAGTCAGTCAGTGACTCTGAAGTAGGGCTCTCTTTGCTTCCCTGGTTTATGGACATCTGTCCCTGTACCTGATATATACAGGATGGTTTCCTGCAACTAGCATTCTTCCTGCCCTTCCTTCTGAATGCCTCTGAATCCCTCTGTGTCCTCTAACCTCTTTGTTTCATCCATACAATCCAACCAAGCCTTGCATGGTTGAAGTTAGGACTTTACTATTCTCTCTGGCTATGAGATCTCTTGGATGTGGGTTTGACCTTATTTGTTCACTGAAGGTAAAGACTGCATCATGTGTTATTTTAAGTCAAATGGGCAAGCTGAGTCAAGAAGAGGCTTTCTTATATGTAGACATAAGATACAAGGAACTTCTAAGGAAAACAAGACCTCATTGAAAGCAACAGGAAGAAAACGTAGGGTGAAGATGGAAATGAGACTCCATTTTGCAAGGAAAAGAGGTCAGATTCTTTCTTAGGCCAGACCATCACACTGGGACTTTTATAGTACAACGGGAGGCTCTGTGTCCTGCATGTGCAAAGGTCTCAATTTCTTTACATTCACTCATCAGTTAATGTGTACATTATCTGTGCCTGTACATAAGAATTCAGCTCCCCAACGATACCTTCAAGTCTCTAAACTCCTAGACTGAAAGAAGAAATGAGGCTTTGGAGAAAAACTATCTCGTGTGGACAGATGCAACTGATAAAAGAAGCATGGGTCAAATGATTGACATGGAAGAAGCAATTACTTGCTGAAGATAAATGCAATGCAATGTGTCTTTAAAATAAAAGTAGGGGTCTGGAGACAGGGCACAGTCAATGAAGTGCCTGCTGTGCAAGCTTGCATACCCCAGTTTGATCCGCAGCATCCGTGTAATAATAAGCCAGGTTCAACAGCATACCTGCAATTGTGGTGCTGAGGGGTGGGATTCTGCTGGGCGCTTTTTGGGGGATGGGTGCATCTAGAGCTAGCCCTGATGGCTCAGAGTCTAAGATCACTTTCAGGCAAACACAGTGGTTTCCCATTCAAGATAATCCTCACAGGAAGGTGGTGTATGTGTGGAAAGTTTGATTCCTACATGGAGCAAGAAAGAGACACTCTCTTTAGGAGTATTGTGTAGGTGGAGCAATGAGAGACTCCCGGGATTCCACAGTGAGAAACAACTAATTTCTTCTCTTTATACCTTGACTAACACTGCCTCAGGCACTCTCTGCGGAGGTTCATGAAATCCTGTCCCATACAGTGGTCAGCCACTGATGGATAAGTCACAGGGGTAGAGAGACTCTTGCACAGTGGGATTTGGGGAAGAGCAGGAAGCTGATCTAGGAAAGGGGTAGATGTCTGGGCTGCTGAAGAGACACCGGAGGAGGGAGGGATTTGGGGCAGAGTTGGCTGGGTGCAAATGCACATGGGAATTTTAGAAACATGAGAAATTCGCCCACATTTATCGCTAGGATTTTTAGCTGTGTATCTGAGAGTGAAGGCTAGTCCCAGAAGGGTGGAGAAGACCAATTCATACTATGGACAGAACTTACTGAAACAATACCCGGAAAATGCTTGGTTCCAGACAGAGTAAGTGATCCAAACCCACGGATGTATTTTCGTTACTACCATTGTTTGGAGGACCAATAGGCATGTTATGTCAGAATCCTTAAATTTGATGTACTTCTGTGGCCAATAGATGGGTTAGTGTGCAATAGATCCACAAAGAATTATGTTAAGACTTGGTTTAATTTAGCCCCTTTTAAGCATGAGTATTCTAAGCTAAATCTTACAGAATTGGCCCCAAATAAGGAAGATCATCAGGATTGACAGGAAACTGTCACAAGCATCTCTTCTTGTGTGAGGTCAGAGTCTTCAGATGGGTGGGAGGGAATGTCTGCCAACTGTCCCACAGCACAGCTATCTGTCATTTGTGAGTGACTCTGGCATTGGACTTAGTATGGTCAGTCCCAGCTTTACATCTGCTGAGCTTTGTGCTGAGGGAAGCCAGTTAAGTGCTTTGGGTTTCTTTTTTTTTTTTATCGTTTTAAGAAAAAGGTTTATTTTTTATGTATATAGCATTCTGTCTGCATGTATCCCTGCATGCCAGAAGAGGGCACCAGATCTCTATAGATGGTTGTGAACCACCAAATTGATTGCTGGGAATTGAACTCAGGCCCTCTGGAAGAGCAGCCAGTGCTCTTAACCTCTGAGCCGTCTCTGTGTTGCTGAAGAACCTCTGACGTCATAAAGGATGGGAATGGTCCACCTGGCTCTCTAGCTGCCAGAATACAACATGGCTTGCCATGTGAACCTTTAAACATGGTGTGCAAGTCCTGATCACTATGAAATCACTGTGCTTGAGAGCCCATCTGGAGAAACCAGGAGGAAGAAGAAGGGGTTGCCCAACTACTCCCTGCCCCCGGGCCCCCGAGCTTCTCAAGCCCGCTCTGCTCAGTCATGCATCAACTTGCATGTGAGTTTAGAGAAGATTCTAGGTCCAGCTTCTGTGGATTCATGGACATTCTTTCCATCAGACACTTAGTTGAGCTTAGTCTAACCTAAGGGCAATGACAAATTTTTAAAAGAACTACGTTTGGGGATGATTTGGTCTTCTGTAAAAGTCTCCAATTATGGCCTGTTACTCAGTGTATTGCAAAGGCGACCCAAGATCGTTGTGGAGCTTGCGGCCCACAGGGCGGCCACGGCAGAGCCACGACCCGCACCCAGCGGCCTCTTGGATGAGGCCACCATCAGCTGCTGCTCCGATCCGGACCCCAGCACCAATGACTTCCTAATGCAGCAAAGGATGCTGAGAATTAAGGATCCTAAGAAGTCTCTGGATTTTTATATTAGGGTTCTTGGACTGACGCTACTCCAAAACTTAGATTTTCCTTCGATGAAAATTTCCCTCTATTTCTTGGCTTACGAGGATGAGAATGACATCTCTAAAGATAAGAGTGAAAGAACAGCATGGACGTTTTCCAGAAAAGTTGTACTTGAGTTGACACAGCTGGGGCACCGAAGATGATGAGACCCAGAGTTACTACAACAGCAACTCGGACCGTGGGGGATTTGGTCACATTGGGATCGCAGTCCCTGATGTCTACAGTGCCTGGAAATGATCTGAAGAGCTGGGAGTCAAGTTTGTGAAGACACCTGACGATGGTAAAAAGAAAGGTTTGGCATCCATTCAAGATCCTGGCAGCTACGGGATTGAAATTCTGAATCCTTCCAAAACAGCAGAGGTTATTTAGCTCTGCGAGAATGCTCTTTGGGGTGTCGGTGACGGTGGGGACAAGAAACGGGATACAAGACGCGAAAGCACCAGAGGCATCGAGAATGAGGGTCCTCTGCTGCAGTTCCAGGCACTCTGAAATCCTTTCCATTATCCTGTTTCTGGTTTTTTCTTTGTCTTTTTTTTTAAAGTCTCCCCTCCTGTTTAATCAACCTAATTTTCAAGTACCAGTTTGTCTTATGACCTTGACAAAGTTGTGTGACTTGACTTCTTAGATAATAATTAGGACAATTCCCTCCGGAGACCACATCTGCTACCTCCTGTCTCTTAAATACTGCTCCAATGTGGTTTTGATTCATCATTTAAAATTTTGTTTTAAACGTTTCTTTTTTCTTCTTGGGGGCTGTTACCTTCTAGGGTTTCAATTCCTCAGAAATAACTTTTCATAATGGAAAGTAAAGAAGACAGAACAGAAATGAAGCTTCATATGTACTTCCAACGGTATAGTGTTTGTTTTACAAAAGAGAAGACGCCCTTGAGAGCAGTTCTGGATCATGCTAACAAGGATACAGATAGAAATACTAATTTTTTGTATATATAAAGTGTACTTTATATACAAAGTTCAAGGACTAAGTTTACTTTTCTGGGAATGTGGAGAAGGAGGGGATTAGTATTACTGGGCACTTAGACAACGGGCTAGGCTGCAGCATGCTTCCTGTGAATGAACACTACAGCTACCATAAGAAAGCAAGCGTCTAGATGTACAGACAGACCTGGTTGTGTCGTCATTTTTAGCATCTGGATTATGCCTCTTCTTATCTCCCATGTTAGACTTCTACTGTGAAACCTGCAGTGAGTGAGTGGCCTTGTGCCCTTTGCTCTTGGGCTGGACCACCACAGTGAATGAAAGTGTGGGCGTCTATGACACAGGCTGTTGTAGGTGACACTGCCTGAATGAGGCTCACATGAGTCTTCCCCATCCTGGGGTCTTCATGTGTTCACTTAGGACAAATTATTTCCAGTGATAACTCAGCTTTCGAGAGTTAGCTCAGTGGTCCACCCTGCCGACGGGATGATGGCAATTTGAAAACTTTTGGTGTGGAGGATAAAACCCAATTTGAGGTCAAGCTACATTGAAATTTTCTGCAGGCTGTAATGGGTGATGTCAAGTGTTACACCCCTAGAAGCATTTTGCTTCTTTTTTGGAATGAAATGGATTTATGCGAGCAGTTGAAACAAATCATTGACTGAAATAATACTTAAACGCTGCTTAATATTTTAAAAAGTCTCCAATTACAAGCTTATACATTGGGGTTCAGTCTACAGGGGTTTTCCTTTGGGCTGACTGAAACTGGTAAAACTTTAGCCTGCATGACCAATGTTTATTGCAGTGGACAGGGAAAACTTAGATGTAAAAATAATGGGCTTATTTAATTGTTTTATAAAAACATAATTTCTTTTAAAAGGCTGGCATTTCCTGGCCTTTCTTTTATTAGACTTTTTTTTTCGTTCCTGTTGCCTACCAGGCCTATGGTGTTTGTGGAACTCATGAATTCACAGAAGCCAATTTCTATTGACTTATTTTCTATTGTCTCATGACTTGTGAATTGTTTAGTCTTCTTTTTTATTTTATTTTGTTTTTCGAGACAGGGTTTCTCTGCATAGCCTTGGCTGTCCTGATACTTCCTCTGTAGACCAGGATTGCCTCTGTCTGCCTGCCTCTACCTCCCAAATGCTAGGATTAAAGGCACATGCCACAACTGCCCTTCCATGTAGCCTTCCTGAGAAGCACCAATCTAATAGAAGAACAGATCTGGGAGGCCCCCTAGAGACCTATAGTCCAAGAAAGAAGAGCTGAAGAACAGCCTGCCCCTTTGGCCATACGGCTTTACTATATACCCCCACTACTGAGTATATCCGTCTAAGAATGTCTTTGATGATACATTACTCCTCAGCCATCATGCATTGCTTTGCTGAGCTTTTTTCAGTGAAACAGTTTGAAGCAGGTATCACACAAGCCCACTTCCTTCCCCCTCCTTCCCCCTCCCAGGTCTGACTAGTCAACAGGGCCATAGTGCATGCTTTATGAAGCCCTGCCTGCTCAGCACATGTTTTCCTGACTCTGAATTATATCATAATGAGCACCTACTCCCAAGATGCCCTGCCTCCAAGTCCAGGCAGCACATTACCTGTGGAGGGCAGAGGGAGCCAACATTCTAGGTAAGTCATTAGGAGATACCTTGTGGTGAAGAGGAGTTGAGGGGGAGATCAAGCGGAGGGCTTTTCACTCGTACAAGTGAGAGAGGAGAGTGTGAGAAAACCTTCGCCACATGCTTTCTTTTCTTTCCTCCTTTGCTATCATCTGAATGTTTGTGTCTGCTCAAAATTTACTGTGTTGAAACATAATCTCCAGTGCAGCAGTATTAGGAAGTGAGACTTCGGGGGCTTGATTAGACAATGAGGATATACCTCATGAGTAGAATTTGTTCCCTTATGAATGAGGAAGACTGAGAAGGAGGTTTCTAGGGAGGAAGCAAATGCTCTTCCACAGAGACCCTGAAGAGCGGGGTTATGATTCCTCTCAAGATCCCTCAAAACCTGGTGTCACAATGTAAAGGAAGTCATTTATCAGCACTCCAGTCTTACGCTAAAAACAATTTAATTATACTGTACTGTGTTGGAGGTTTTCAAAGAGGTAAAAAGTGTATTTTTATAGTCAATAATAGGCAGGAAAGCCTTCTTATGGGTCTCCTTTGAGATTAGGGAACCCCTGCATCAGCACTGCTTTTGTGGGATGCACTGTGAATAGTGTGCTCCTCAAAGATAAACTCGTTTGACTTTACCGGAGTTTTGGAGATACATTCTAAAGTCTAGAGATGACTTCCAAATGGGACACAGGCACTCACTACTGACATTCTCTGATCTCCCCTTTCCATTATTCTTGGGCTGAGAAGGAAGTGGGCAAATAGTAAGTTAGAAAGATAAGCCTGCACCATCAGTAATCACCATGTCCTAGAAAATCATCGTGGTCAGTCACTGTTTTGGGTTATTTCTGGGGATTGGGAACGAACAGAAGAGAGAATGACCCCACAGTGCAGGAATATGCTTCCTAAATGAAAGGTTTCCCTAGAGATAAGGTAACAATGTCTTGTTTCTCATTCTGTCTCTTGTTACACTGCAACTATCAGTAATAAAACCTTGAAATATAGGATGTGCTTCTCTTAAGATGGTAACCTTGCTGTAGCATATCAGCGTACCATAATCCACCCTGATATGGCCTTTCCCTCTGATAGAAAGGATGACTCAACAGTTCATGACTTTACTCATTTTCTGATTTTATTCTTTCTAGTTTTTAGGGATGTCCATGTCCATGTCCATGCATGGGCACATGTGCACGCGCATAAACACACACACACACACACACACACACACACACACACACACACACACACAATCTTCCTGTAGCCATGTCCTTGATTCTTCAAATATTATTTCAGCAAGGAAAAAACTGTTAATAAGTGTAATTTTTGAATGGGTCTAGGCTCAGTATGCCTTACCTTGCTTGAAGAAAGTACATATGTTACATGAATGTCATGAGCAAAGGGTCATATTTAAGACTCTGGAATATAAAGTTATTTAAGAAAGTGATGGGTGATGTTCAAATATTATTTTATTAAATGATTAAACTGCTACGACAATACTGGGAAGTGATATTGAGTGGTTAATTGTGTTTACAATTCTAATTCCTTCCTAAGATCTTTATCCCAAATGGCCAGTTTCCCTACTGACATTTCACTTATGGACTGAAAGAGACACAGATTGTCTTTATTTAGTTTTTAAATTTGTTTCTCTTCCATTCTCTGAAACTGCTTAGCTTTCATTTGAGGAAACACATGCTGAAGGGTTCATTAATCCCTTTGAAGTTTATTATGAAATTCCTAGCCATGATCTCAGGCAAAGCTAAACAATCTTTACGAAGAGGTATAAGTCTGCCACCAACTTGTCACAAGTCCCCATTCCTGGGATGTAGAGACGGATGTTGGCTATATAATCATGACCAATGAGAAGAGGAGCTGAGTGCTTGAGTCCATTTTCCCACACTGTCACTTGACTGTGTGTGAGGAGCAGCAGAAGAAGTAAAGTGTTAAAAGGTCAAATTATTTACAAAACATTGCTCAATGAGTGGCCAAGCAGTCCCTGAACCCAGGCTTATCTAACTACACAACTCCTTTAACTAGTAGGTAACAGTCCCTTTTCCCTACCCCCTAGAGATACTGCCTACTTCAGAGATTTATTTGATGTCTACATCTCAAGCACCATCTACCCAGGGATATGACTTGGCAGTATAGGGCAACCATGAGTAAATGAGTAAGGATATTTGAGTGTCTGAATTCATCCCCTACTTTCTACCTTCTCTCCTTCCACTCCATAGTTTCCTTTACTCCTTAGTGTCTTAGTTCCTTCTAGATGCTACAACAAGCAACAGCACACACACACACACACTCACACACACACACACACACACGCACACTTACTTCATTTCTCATAGTCATGGAAAACCCCTTGTGAAGGTGTTAGCACATCTGTGTAAGGACATGGATCTCTCTAATGAGGGCCCTGATGCCGATGCTTTGACTCTCAAATATCCCACTCCTGAGGATTGGCAACTCAACACAGAGCTTTTCAGGGAGCACAAACATGGAGACTACAACACTTCTTTACCTCCCTTCAGCCTCCTTCCATCTGCCCATATATTTACTCAGCCCTGTATTGATGATGACTTTGAAGCAGCATCAGAATTAAAGCATTTGGCCCTGCATGCCTCACCAGCTGTGGGTTGTACAAGTTCTGGCCATGGAAAGAGCTGAACCTACATGGGAGCAATATCTGGTTAGCACAAAATATTGAAACTGAGTAAGCAACAAAGGGAACTTCCATTTACAAATTTCTTCTAATTTTTAGCTTCTTCTGTGTGTGTGTGTGTGTGTGTGTGTGTGTGTGTGGTTGTGGTTGTGGCATGTATCCCTATATTCCCAGCACCTGAGAGAGAGGGGGGAGGGAGAGGAGAGGCAAGTGAATCACTACAAGTTCAAGGTCAGTCTGGTTTACAGTACAAGTCTGAGGTAGCCAGTACTACACAGAGAGACCCTGTCTCAACAAAGAAAATAAGACAAAAACTAAACACATTTCCTTCAAATCACAAGTAGAAATGAAACCCATTGGGAAATCCTGACTTACTATAAACCCCATTTGGGGGATTTTTTTTTTGCTTGCTACTTTTTTTTTTGAGACAGGTTTCCACCATGTGTAGCCCATGCTGTCCTGTAACTCACTGTATAATCCAGACTGGTTTCAACTCACAATCCTTCTGCTCTTTACTTCCTAAGTATTGGAATTGGCTGGCATACTCAGCTAAAAGCTTCTGTTTTTGACAGAGGGCAGCTTGGGTTTATAATCATGAGTTCATAGATAAGACATCTCTAGTCACACTGTGGTCCCATTTGAACATCTGCACTAAGAATATAAGTTTTCCTTCTAGCTGAATCACTCCAGCTCCCCTAGATCACTTGTTGCCATTTATGTGCCCTGAAGAAGGAGTCTCTACCCTTGGACACTGCCACTCCCTTCTTCCAAGCCAAGAACTCACTTCTTACTATGAAGCTGCTATTTCTTCTCTTTCTCCTTCTTATATGCCTTTGTCAGACAGCATCAGGTAAGCTGTGGACCCACCCAGATGGGGGAAATGGTAGATGACTTTGGATCATGAAGTAAACAAAACAAACTTACAATTAAATCATAAAGTGAAATAATATACTAATAATGTCATGACAAAGCTGGTGCTGTCAGCTTGACAGAAGCAGCGCCCTGTAAATGAAGGGCCTCTAAGTGTGTCTGTGGGAGGGTTATCATGACTATGTTAATTGATATGGGACAACCCATGTGCTTTCTGGGCAGTGGATCCTGGACTGTATCAGAGTGGAGGATACCCTCTGAGCATTAGCACACATGCATTTGCCTCTCTCTGCTTCTTGACTTTGATGCAACATGGCCACCTCCCCATAGCTCCTGTCCATGTGTCTTCACAGCCAAGATGTGAGCTCCTTTGAACTGTGAGCTAAAATGAAGGCTGCTGTGTCCCTTAAGTTGCTTTTGTTGCAATGATAGGGAGAAACTAAGACAGTGTATAGAAATGCTTCACTTTACAATCAAAGAGAAGCTTAAGGAGAATTTAAGAAGACTTCCCTGAGGTCTTCAACTGGTAATCACTAGTAATTGTGGCAGACAACATATTTAATGTGCCTTTCTTTTGAGTTACAAAGCACTTCCATGGGACTGGAAACAGTAACACCAACGCAAATAGTAACAGTGACCAGTGATCACACACAGAGGCGTGGATACATTCTGCATAAGAGAGAGAATGTGTATTTCTCTTTTCAAGATTGTATCTCACTTAACATTGTCCTTTCTAAGTTCATCCATTTTCCTGAAAATTTTAAGATTTCACTTTTAATATCATTAAGTATTACATCTGTGGAGGAGGCATTAGATTCTCCAAACCTAGAATTACAGGCAGTTATAAGCAGACTGTTTTGGGTGCTGGGAATAAAACTTGTGTGCTCTGAAGAAGGGGTAGTGTTTTTATCTGCTTAGGGAGACACTTTAGGAATGTTATAGAAAGGACATTTGCAAGGAAGTGAATTTACACTCATGATCTCGGAACACAGTCACGTGAGGTGTTTTCTCTGATTCAAGCATCTTCACATGAAAATGAAACTAAGCTATGGGAACCGCAGGCTTTCTGAAGGACCAGGAAAAAACAAGAACAACACAAAAAAGTACCCCCAAACTAGTCTCCAGTGGTTACATGGCCTCAGCTACCACAAGTCACCTCAGCATTTCTCATAAAGAGAACTACAGAAAGTGAGGGAGTGTGTGTGTATGTGAGAGAGAGAGAGAGGGAGAGAGAGAGAGAGAGAGAGAGAGAGAGAGAGAGAGAGAGAGAGAGAGAGAGAGGAGAGAGAGAGAGAGGAGAGAGGAGGGAGAAAGGATAGGAGAGACAAAAATGACAGTGAGAGAGAGTGTGAGTGAGTGAGTGAGTGAGCATGGATGGCTGTTTTCCAGCAGTCTTGTTCAACAACACTGAAATGCAGACTGCATACATTATCAAATGAGCCCACTCTTGTATTTTTCTGTCATAGTCTGCCAATGAGAAAATGGTTACCAGCTCAGGTTACACCTGAGCCACCAGAAATTTAGCGTGGAGCTTTGTGGACTGTTTTGCCCGCCCTTGCTAGACACAATAAGTTACAGCATCTTGGTTTTGATGAACCTTTGTTTCTTCACCACTTTGTTCCCTTTTTCTTACAGGGCGCAAAAGAAGTATGAAATTTGATCAGTGTGAGAAAATGGGCGGCCTTTGCAAGTATCAGAAAACCCACGGATGCTCCATCCTGCCTGCAGAATGCAAAAGTCGGTACAAACACTGCTGTAGGCTTTAACTGACATGCGCAGTTCAGCGTGAGAGTAGGCACCTGCTCTGATTTCCGTGGAATAAATACATCACAATGCACCCAGTCTCTCCCCAATGTGTGGATTTTTGGTGAAATGCCAGTGATCTTGAAAGGGGAGACTGTGCTGTGTATCCTTTACTTTCCTGAAAAAGGTCCTCATGTGGCCTGGGCTAGCTTCAAATTATGTAGTTTAGGATGACCTTAAACCTCCTGATCATGCTGCTTCCACCACACAAGTACTAAGATTACTGCCATATTCTAACCGTGTTTAACTCTTTACTAAGCCCAGCTCCAATCCATTGGGACTGCCTTAATTCATACCCCAAACCCCCACATATTTCCATTTAAGTTGGGTACTATATTGTTGTCTATGTTTCTACCCTATGTCTTTCAATTCACCTCCCCATCACCAAAAATTCTTCAGTGTTACTTTGCAGTACAAAAGATAAATCAAATGCTTTAGCTTAGCATCTGAAGTTCTCCAGGTGTGGATATTTCCTTTGAAAGTCTTGTCTCTCATGTTTTAGTTTCAAAAATATGATGGAAGTCATAACTCTGGCATGAAAGCCATTTATATTTTCTCTTTCATCAGAAAATATTTAGGTCGTTTCAACTTTGGCTTCAGAGTTTTTAACATTTAAGATTCTGCTCAGGCATAATTTACCAGGTAGATAACTTTGATCTCCCCCATGAAAAAACAATTTCTATTCCTATAAGTTTCTTATTGAAGTTGACCTTGTATTTTAACTCACGTTTCACTGGAACTGTTTTGATATAAAGAAAGTACTCAATGGTAGATTGTGTTTTGCTTTGTTGGTTATTTTGAGACAAGAGATTCTCTGTGTAGTTTTGGAGTCTGTCCTGGAACTAGCTCTTGTAGACCAGGCTGGTCTTGAACTCACAGAGATCTGCCTGCCCCTGCCTCCCAAGTGCTGGGATTAAAGGCGTGTGTCACCACCACCCAGCTCTGAATGGAAATATCTTTCTTTTTTAATTTACTTTTTATTTTATGTGCATTGGTGTTGTGTTGTGGGTGTCTGTCCCCTGAAACTGGAGTTGCAGGCAGTTGTTTTAAAATTAGTAAGTAACTGAAGAAAATGACACAATGAGGTTTTGGTGTTCTGATATAATTCAGGAAGGACAGGAAGTGTACATTCCTCAGGTCATGGTTCTCACACAGCAGAAGCTCCTGCCAGGGCACAACCCTGGCATTCGAGTACAATTTGTTTTCCTCCTCAGGCACACACTTATGAGAGAGTCACAGTAATGGTGCTCATAACCTATAGGGGGAAAATGAGATGTTTTAGGTAGAAATTCTCAAACACCTTGGGCAGGAATTGACACCATCCAGTAGGATCAGGAACCCATGGACTCACCGTTGATGAAGGTGCTTTCCATCTGTACTGAAACTTTCCACTCATTCTCTCCTTCCCGTTTGCAGCCTCTAGGAGCTGGTTATAAATGGAAGTATTTGTGTTGTAATTTGAAGGATAAAAATCTTCAAATACTCCTATGTAGCCAGCATATTATGTAATTTGTATACTTACCACCAGAGCTCTTCATGGAACTGCTCAAAAATGCTGTTTTGAAGCAATGTATTAAAACTTAATGATTTCATCTTCTCAGGACAGGATACCATTTAGAATACAATACAATAGAGTATTTTCCAAAATGGATTGTATTGACACAGATATTAAAATGTATCAAAATGTATGATATACCCCAAACTTTTTGAGGTATCAACAGCATTCCAAAATCTACACACAATTCCCATACTTATAAAACCATGCATGGTAATATACATCCTAAGAAGATGGGATTGTAGATCTGAACTAATTTTTGATCAAAGGACTCAGAATGACAGACACAATCTGAGGTGGGGATTCCCTAACCACAAAAGCAACATACACCTTACTCAAAGTTGGATCTGGCTTCTTGCCCGCCTTTCATCTGGAGGAAAAGGAAAGCTCATACTACTGTGCTCCTAGGGATCTGGCTTGTCTATTATGAACCACCAGTAGAGGCTACCACTTCAGAACTCAGACAGCACATGTCCCAGAGGGGACTCTCACCAACCTCAGAGGAACTTACTGGGCTCTGCCCATCATATTGTTGATTGCAAGATCTACGCATTCCATGTCATCCTAACTTGGCTTCCACTGTGTATCAATGGACCAGTTTGGCACCATTCTATCCAACGCTGAAAAGGATGTCCATCATATGTGAAAACTAATACCAAGGCTGAATGCAGGATGTACCCATCTCATGTCATCTTAACTTGGCCTCCACCCTATTTCAATGGACAAGTTTGGCACCATTTTATCCAACACTGAAAGGGAAGTAACTTGAACTATGCTTGTAGCTGACACTTCATGCACATGCCTATCAAGGTATCCTGTGTCAACATCACTCCTGTATAACCCAGAAACTTTGTAATACTACATCGCTTTTTCTGGGTATAACTCACATCTACCTAAATGTTATAAGCAGGCATCTCATCATGGAAACTTCTGGAAGGTCTCCCTGTTTCTCCAAAGGAGAGCACCTCATAGTTTATCATCTACTTGACTGAGAATTGACTCAGAAAGCAAATTGAACCAGGATCACTGTTTTGAGTAACACAACAACATTATTAATTATTCCCAGTGTGCCATTGTTAGGAAACTACTGCCATAAAAAGGGACAAAAGAACCATGGATGAAGGAGGGTACTGCTCCAACTTGTTCCCAACTTCTGAACTTATTGTCTGAACTTATTGTCTTCTGAACTGTACCCTGGAAATCACAATGCACCCTTAACAGGAAGTAAATACGTAATGTGTTTATATGAAGGGCTAATATTAGGAGGAAAGAGTTAGGGTTAGGGTTAGGGTTAGGGTTAGGGTTAGGGTTAGGGCAGGGTGGGTGACACCTAACTTGCTGCAGAAGTCAAGGCCCAAATTCTCAATGACTGCCCAAATAAAGGAGTTAAAGTTCTCTGAAGCCTTTAAGCTCAGCTGTGACCCACAGTCCCACACCATGATGTAAGGGATAGTCAAGGTTGGAAGCTAAACCTGTCTCCCCTTCATCCCAAACCTGATGCTCTTTTGTCAAGATAGGAAACACAATTAATTGCCTATTTTCCCTCCAAAATGCTAAGGCTCCAATTGTTTGGATGTTCTTTTCTTAAAAAGCCCTAAGATTTTTCTTCCTGGCTTTGCAGCCAGATATTAACAGGATGTCTCCAAATCATGGCTGATGGTCAAGTCTGCTGCTGTTAAAGGCTACCTCAGTAGAGGGACAATATGAGAGTTGGTAGCATGATTGAGAAAAGTTCTTTCTCCCTTCTTCCTAGGTTTCAGCATTTTTTCACAGTTCAGGGTTAGTGTGGAAACATTTGTAAGACTCTCCTTAAATATCCTTCTGCCCTACACTGGTTATGGCCTCCCTAAGAGCATCCTTCATGAAACTGAACTCATTGGAACTCAGATAAGAAGAGGCTAAATAGGTCTTACCTGCCGTGACTTGAGAGATAAAGAAGACAACTGAGATGAGAAGGTAAAATAATTTCATGGCACACAACTTGAGTGGAAAATGCCTTCAAATCCCTGGAAGAGATAAACAATGACAATGCTGAACAAAATATAATGTCCTCTTTTACAGGTTTAGTCAGCATGAATGAATGTGGAAGGGATACCTGATTGTGTCAATACTGCCAGTTAAAATATACAGCAAACAATGAATAACCATGAATTAAAGAATACTTGTCAACATTTACTGCATAGCTGAGGGTATTTCTTTTCTTAGCACCTAAAGGATCAAGGATTAGGAAAGAACAGTGAAAACGACAAAATTGATGATGTTCCATGAAAAACCTCAGTTTGTGGCACTGTTTTTAGTTATTCTCATGTAACTATTATAATCTTCTCCTTCAGTTCAAAATCTGTTTTCACAGTAATCAGAATATTCCCCCAAATGCCCAAAGAGAGTAAAAACCTTTGCTTACCTCTTAAGATCTTCGTTATGGAGTCTCTTCTCTCTTAGGATACAGTTGCTCATGTCTCTAGAAATATATGACATCCACCACACACTCAGTCACTGTTGGTTCCCTTTCCATTTGTTCTCAGTGAGGGCTGGCCTTACCCACCTGGACCAATGAGAGTTGTCAAATACCTCTGGGATGACCCTGCTGATTCAGGTTTCTCTTCAGATGATGGTGGAGTCCCATGATGGATAGAACCTTATGTTCTTGGCTCTTGCACTGCTAAGCCTAGCGCAGTCCTTGGGTACATGAAAGTTGAGGGGCTTTCCTCAATGAATCATTGTAAGAAGTGTCTCGGGAAGTGGCTGTCAGCTTTTTTGTGTCTTTTCTTCTTCTCTCTTGATTATCCATTTCCTTATTTATCTATTAGGAACATATTATGATTTTCTTACAGTTAAAAAGAAATTATTGTTAATTGGCATTGACACTAACACAAAGGATTTAAGAGAAAAGATAAATTTAGAATCACAAGACAAAACAATAAACAACAACTCAATATCTAGTACCTCCTTTTATATAATTACTCTAAAAGTAAATTATTAGACTGCTTAATCTAGATATAGGGCAGTAGAATGTATAAAAATATGCCATCCACAGAACCTCACTTTGTTGGACATTTCTTGGCTGATAGCTAAGGAATGAAAATATTGTGAAAATGGTAATAAAAATATAAAAGCAAAATGGCTATACTTATATCATATCAGCTAAACTTTGAGTAAAAATTATCATGAAATTCAGAGAAGCATATTATATAATGACAAAATGATTGGTGAAAGTAGATATGATAATTATTTTATACATTTGTGAAAACAAAATTAGAGTATCTAGATATACAAAGCAAAATATTGGCAGAACTGAAGAGTCATATGCTAATATTAGCAGAGTACAATACCTGTTTTCAACAATAAGAAAACATTAGTCTTAGAGAACACTGTAGAAAAAAATGGACCCAAAAGACACACAGAGAAATTACAGCCACTGCCAGCACAATACCCACTTTTCAAGTACAGGCAGATCATTTTCCAGCACGGACCACATGTTGG